GGGGGGGTGGGGATAGGGGAAGCCGCCGACAGGAGGAAGAGGAGACAAACTTGAGAAAGAAAGGGCTAAGGGGCAGGGGTCTTTCAAATGGTCTTCCAGGAGTTGTAGTCCTAGAACTTAGGCAGAAACTTCTGGAATAAAAGAGCAAAGCCTCCAGGGAGCAGCAGTGGCTGTGGGGTTAAAGTTTTAGAACAAGTGCTAGAGGGACACAGGTCAAGCCTTGAGTTTGTGGTCTCCACTTTGGAGTGGATCAGTGACTGAAAAGGAAAAGGCTGCATGCATAAGGTCACCACCATGGCATCAAGGACACCATCTTTCTGCCTGTTGCCTGCTCCTCCTACTCTAGAGTGCCACAGATCCCACCTTAGTGGCTTACAGTCCTGGACCACCTGATGCCCTGGTCTGGATGCTAAAGACTGTAGAAGCCTTGACTGCTTTTGAGCTCTGATGGAGAAGGACAGTTGGGTGTGGGGGAGGAATAGAGAAGATGTGGGCACAGTGGGAGGAGCCAGTCTCTGTCTCTCCCACAGGCACTAGTAGTACCAGGTCAAGAGTAACTGAATGGAGGGAAAGTTGACAGAGAGCTACTGATGCAGCTCAGAGAGTGTCATTGCCTGGGACCATGAGGTTATTGAACACTCAGAGCTGGGAAAACAAATACATTGACAAGACTGATGTCACAGCAGGGAAGTGCTGACATTAGAGATGATGGGTAGTCGGGACTGCCAGCTGAAATTTCACCAGAGAACTTCTACTGCTCTATTAGCTGAATGCCATCATGATATTATGTGGAACATGTGGTTGGCACACAGCATGGAAGCTACTCAACAGAGATAATGAGTGAAGCGCAGGTGGTGAAGGACCTTCCCAGGGACCCACTGAGCCAGGGTTTGGCGGTGGTAGCTGACCTTTGCCTCTAGTTCCATCTTGATGGATACCAAATATGCATGTTGTCATGGGTCTAGCAAAAAAAAAAGTTCCCTATAGCTGTACTCTGAAAAATGGAAGCTGTGTCATTGCAGTAAACACCTTCGAGAACTTCTAGATGTTTTCCATTTAGAATACATCCAGGAGTTGAATTTGAACACAGCATGGAATGTTTAGAACTTGTCAGGTTCTGCAGCCTGCCTCAGCCAGATGAGAAATTTTCAAAATATCCTTCTTGCCTGTATCCACAGTGATAGCCCCAAGACTGGAAAAACAACAATAGGCACAGCAAAGCGTATCCCGAATTCCTTTTTTCACCATCCCAAATTCAATTGTCTATATGAGTGATGTCTACTTCATAAAATGTTAATCTAACTAATAATTTTCAATAAAACAAAATCAAGGGGCATAGAGCATTGGTGGCACACACCCTCAATACCAGCACTCCGGAAGCAGAGGCAAGAGGATCTCTGTGAGTTCGAGACCATCTTGGTCTACAAGAGCTAGTTCCAGGACAGCCTCCAAAGCAATACAGACAAACCCTGCGTCGAAAAAGAAAAAAAATCAAGGAGCAAATATTGGGGTAAGAGTCTGAAAGATCAGAGTTCTGGGGGAATCCACCAATAGCATTCTACCTCTTCTGTTCCTCCATCCAAAAGTTCCAAGCCTAACCACTTCCTGCCTCCTCTCAGTCTACAGTCCCGCAATCCTCTATGGTCAGCTAATTGCTAGCTCTGCCCCATGAATCCCAGCAAGCTTATTTGTCAGAACACAATTAAATTGTCAAACAACAACTTTCTCAGTGACCAGAATAAACAGTTACTCAACTAAGGAAGACCTGAGAGCTGCTTCTATTACCTGAGAAAAACTTACTCCTTTGCAATCAGGATTAGCAGGCACCTGATGTCTCCTGATCACTGTGGCATAAACACTAAGAGTTGTTGGAATAGTGAAGGCTTGTTGTTTTCAAGTTAACTGAATCAAGGTCTCACATGAGTCACGTAGCAGAGGTTTAACTGTGATAGGATTTGTATACCTAGATAGCGTGTCAGAAGTCCAGGTTGTTGGGACAAATCTATTGAGGATGGGTTGTGTGCTCCTCATGCAATTATGTCTAATCAATCTAATGGGAAGGGAACAGAAAGAAAAGAGGGTAACAAAGAGGGAAGGATTCACAGTTGTGTGTCCTCAGGTGAGCTCTGTGCTCAAATCTGTGTGAGCAGCCACCATTGTGTCTCTCATTCCTCATGCATGAAATATTTTGAACCCAGGTAGAAGCTGAACAAATGGCACCATGAGGGCAGTGAGGTTGAAGGTCAATGCCTGTGGTGAAGACTGGATTGATGCAGAGGTTTGGAAGGCAGAGTGGCCTTTGCAGAAGATAGGATGTCGAGTTTCTCAGGGCTGATCTTTCCTGTGTGTGCCCTCCAGGCCATTGGGTTGCACTGCTTCTTTGGCTTGAAAATGAAAAACAGGTGCACTGGGAAAAGACCAAGGAAAAGATAAAGACTTCTCAATGGAGATTCTAAAGTCAGAAGGGCCTGGACGGATGTCCTACCAAAGATTCCAGCCCAGGACTCCATACTCAGCCAAACTTTCCATCACAGTAGTTGGGGAAAATAATATAATACTGTTAAAAACCAAATTGAAACACTATCTAGAAATCCATCCCTACAGAAGGCTATCGTTAAGAGGAAAACTCCAACTTAAAGAAGTTCACCACAGCCAGGAAATCACAAAGAATAGATAATGCTAGACTAGCAAAAGGGGAAACACATACACATCATACCGTACACACTCACAGCACAGCAAACCTCACGCCACAACAAAATAACAGGAACCAAAAGTGCTGCTCATTGATAGCTCTCAATTT